CAGCCCAGTCTCCACCTTGCGTACAGAGGTGACTCAAAGGGTGTGTCCAGCCCTTTGGGTCAGGGAGCAGAATCCAGCCTGCTTGTCACATCCTTCCTTTCACTTTTAAAGGGAAACAGTGCTCAAGAACCTCAGCTGGAGAGGAGAGAGGGTTATGAAAATGAATGATCCCCAAGGGACCAGGGACACTCTCAGGGGAAAGGTTTTTATCAACACCTGTGAGTCCCAGTTCCTGAGCCCAGGAACCCACTGACAACTCAGCATGGTGCCTACCTCCAAAAGCTCCCAGGCCAGGGTGGAGACAAGGGGCCAGAGACAAGCCTAATGAGGTCAAGGGTAGTATTAGAGACATACTGAGAAAAAAAATGCCCACCCCAGGCCGGAAGTCAGACAGTCTTCCTGGAGGAGGCCACGTCCAGGCCAGAAAGTTTTCACATTCCAGGGCTGTCAAATTTAGTAAATATGGAGGAAGACACCCAGGGAGATTTTTTTTTTTTTCCTTTGACCAGGCTACATAGCATGTGGGATCTTAGTTCCCCGACCAGGGATAGAACACAAGCCCCCTGCATCCCTGCATTGGAAGCACGGAGTCTTAATGGCTGGACCCCCAGGGAAGTCCTGACCAGTGAGATTTAAATTTAAAAGAAGCAGCTAATAATTTTTTAGTATGTCATAAACATTCCATGGAATATACTTAGGTTGGAAAGTTACAGACTTCATCACTGCACATCACAGATCAAGGTCAGACTCAGAGAAGGGACAGGGCAGGGCTGAGCCTTGGGTTCCAGAGTAGAGCCCACCAATCTGAGCACCCTCCTACTCTGCCACTTAACTGGGCAGCCCTAGGCTGCCTACTTATTCTCTCTGAACCTCAGTTTTCCAATCTGTAAAATGGGATGGGTGTGTGGACATTAAAGCTTACCTCTTAAGGGCTGGTCTGGGATCCCACAGCATCAGGCTCCCTCAGGAGGGAGGTTGTTAGAAATACAGAATCTCTGGCCCTGCCCCAAGCCTGTTGGATAAAACCTGCCTTCCAAGAAGCCTCTGATCCAGGTGTTCATTTAAATTTCAGAGTGCTGTGGGCAGAGCCACCCCATGGGACCCAGGGCCCAACACAGAGCCAGACACAGTGGTGCGGGGAGGCCTCCCAGGTTGCCTGGCCTCCTTGGCACATCCCACACACACAGACACTCAGAGGGGGTACTTTTTACCTGCACTTACAGCTGAGACCCCAGAAGAGGCCAAGAAAAGCGAGCTCCTTCCCTGGAGGTAAGGCTGGCACAGCTCAGGTGCCTTAGGATTGAAGACCTTCCATGTGCCCACGCTCTCCAACTCAGCCATGCCACGTTAATCTCGCTGCTTCTCAGTGGCCTTGTGGATGGACTCATGGACAGTTGCTCAAGCCCTGAAGAGGTTCTGAGGTTCAGTGAGGTTGAGTCTGCCCAGCCAGGTGCCTGGCACACCATGGGAGGCTGGGCAGAGACACCTTTTCCTGCCCAGAAGGATCACTTCCTTTTCCACCTGTGGCAAACCAATGAGAAGCAGCCCCCAGCCCCACTGACAGCCAGGACACCCCAAGGCTTTTTTCTGGGGGAAAGAGGATGACTTCTGGCAGGGGCACCTCCTGGCACAATCAACTTAATTGGCATTGCCTCCAGGAGAAACTGCCCCTACAGACCAAAGTCCCGAGACCAACTAATTCCCCAAATGCTGAGTCACTGATCCTCAACAGATGGGGGAGAGAATTAGCTGAAACAGGAAATGCATTGAATTGGTTTGTGCTCTGGGTCCAGAGGTTTCTAGGGACACTCTGTTGCCCGTGTGTTATCACCATGGCTACTCAGCTATCTGATCAGGGTGCTCCCCTGCTTCAAATCCACCAGCACCTTTTGAATGCTTAATATGTAGCTGTATTGCCCTTTAAAAATAATTCAGGGACTTTCCTAGTGGTCTAGTGGTTAAGACTCCACACTTTCAATGCAAGCGATGTGGGTTCGATTCCTGGCTGGGAAACTAAGATCCCATGTGCTGCGTGGCAGAGCCACAACATAAAAAATTTTAAATAAAAGACATCAGTTTAGTTTTTCAGTTTTTGCCTGTTTCAGTGATGATCTCTTTGGTTTTCTTTTTATCCTCAAATGTGCCAGGCACCCTCCCCCCGGAGCACTTTCACTCTGCTTCCAACACCCTTTCCAGTCTCACCTAACTCCTACAATAGAGTGAGGCCCCAGGTAACCCTCCTGGCACCTGGGCATCCCAGAAGGGAGATGATCCAGCCACAAGTGCACCTGGCCGGAGGGCACTACCCACTCCCTCCCGCCTCCAGCCCAGTGCCTACAACTGGCAGCCCCAACAAGTGATGGCGGAGCAGACAGATGCTTCGTGGACTCTGCAGCTTGGGGAAGTTGGGATGCACTGAAAGTTTGGTTCTCAACCCCTCTAAAGCTCCTAGCATGCAGGGACTGAGCTCTATCCATCTCCCCTAGGTCCAAGCACAGAGCCAGGAACACAAGGGCACCCATTCAAGCCTATGCGTGGGTGGGATTGTGCCAGTCAGAGGTGTGGAATTTCCCTGCACTCTGCTGACGCCTTTGCCATGAGCCCTGTACGTCAGCCAGCCTGGAACCTGCTGGAAACCTGCCGAGCTTATCTATTGTTCAGTGACCTCTTTCCTTCCAAACCCAGCTCACTTATCGCGTGCATGCTCGTGTCCCAGGGCCTGTTCTGTTCTATTTTGGACACACTTATCAAGGGCAGAGGTTTTGATATCAGATAGACAAGTTCAACCCCTGACAGCCTGTTTCCCTGTGTGTAAGTGGATAGCAGAGCCTCCACCCAGGGCTGTGTGATTGTATGAGACGTCTGCACACCTTCCCTCTGCAGGTCCAGGCCACAGGAACACACCACTCTCTTGATCCCGCCCAATTCACAGATTCCACCAAGTGCCAGGGCCTGTTCCAGCCAAGCGTGGGTTATATGAGCACAGCCCAGGGTTATGTAAAGTGCCTAGGATGGCACCTGCTCCCAAGCTGGTGAGAGCAAGCTACTCCTTCACAGGGGTGGACAGTGGGCCAGCCTGGGACACCAGAGCAGGCCTGTGTTGATGTCCAAATCCTGTCCTCTTAACCCACCCTGTGACTTGTTGCCAGGTGAGTTCTGAGCCTCAGCACCCCCACCCAGAACTTGGGAGTAGCCCCTATATTGGTAGAACACTCAGCCCAGGTCTCAGGACACAGCTTGCATCTAGCACGTGGCCAACAGGCCCCAGCTCTGTTCCCAGACAGGAACGCACCCCACCAGCAGAGGCCCCTCTGAAAAGAAATATCACTGGAGAAACCCAAGGTGCCCACTCTCCTGCATCTGCACAGACTCAACGTTAAGTTCATTGGCTGGGACGCCTGGAGGTGGCAGGCTCAGAGGAACAAGGTTGGCACACCATTTGAGCAGACCGCCACCTCAATGTCCCAGGCTCTTGGGTCCCCAGGGCCAGGCCTGCCTCACACAGCAGGTGGGGAGGTCTACAGCCAGCAGCCAGGCAGGGATACAGGAAGCTCTCCAAGCTTGGCCCCTTCAACAAGGCAGTGACACCCATGAGGCTGTTGGTGCAGTTCTGGGACCCCACAAATGCTAGGTTGCCATCTTTGTTCAGCTCCATTAGCTCATCTCCTTAAGGTGCCCGAGCCATGGCAGGCCTCAGGAACCTGGTGGCAATGTACTGGTTGCTGTTTCACTCACTGATAATTCCACCTGAGCGGCAATCCCCACCATATACACTTTGATTCACTAGAAATCCTGAGTGGCAGAAACGTGGAGACCCTAAACCTGAGGGCCCACCACCCCCTAATAGCAGCCAGAGACCCAGGCTTTCCTCACCGTGTAGACCGGCTTGTGCTGGTACCATTCATTACCTGGTTTTCTGTCGGAATGAAATACTCAAGCACTTTCAACTTTCTTCCCAATTTTCTCCTAACTCCCCTGCCAACCCTCTTCCACTAAGTATTTTCATCAGCTAGGCCTTGTGAGGCCTGATAAGTGGGTGACGGTGACACTGTGATAAGCGGGCACAATAAAGGGCACAGTTATCAGCAGCATCCCCCTCCTCCAGACAGCAGCTGGGAGGCCCAAATATGAGGTGGAACCCTCCCCTGTCAGAACCTTGCAGGTGGGCTGAGAGCAAACAGACAGGGCATGTGTGTGTCACACTGTCACTCATGCACTTAAAACACCCAGGTAGGACTTTCCTGGTGGTCCAGTGGCTAAGACTCCACATTCCCAATGCAGGGGGTCCAGGTTTGATGCCTGGTCAGGAAGAACTAGGTCCCATGTGCCACAATTAAAAAAGACCACACATGCCGCAACTAAGACTTGTTGCAGCCATTTTTTAATTAATTAAACACACACATAAGTGTGCCAAACAGAGCAGAGCAGTTCGGGAGCAGAGACAGATGGCCCTGGCTGCCTGAGGGAGCAGAAGGCTGAATTTACAACGGGCTATGGAGAAAGAGGTGTCATCAGGCAGGCTCATCTTTCCAGGAGGCGAAAAGTCATTCCCAAGCTTCAGAGGAGGTGTCAGTCTGATCCCAGAGGGGAAGGCCACGGGAGCAGATGGTGGTAAGGCCAGAGAGCCAGATGCTGGCGGGTGTCTCCCGGCCTGAGGGCTGCTAGGTTGCAGTGCTGCAAGGCTGACCTCTCCTGGCCAAGGAGGCACTGCACACAGCAGGCAAAGAGCCAGGTGCTGCTTCCTGGAAGTGGTTTCTGATTCCCAAGGTTTCGATGGCCTCTTCCTACAGGAAGGAGGTACAAACTAGGGCAGCTAGAATCGTTATTCTGTTGTTATAGGCAAAGCACCATCCTGGCCATCCATCTGGAGGGCCACAGTTCTGCCTGCCCCGAGTCCAGTCCATCCAGTCTGAGAATCAAGCTCCCTCCAGCAGGGAGGCCTGCTCCACACTCCAGTCCGGGGAGAGGCTGGGAAGGCAGCTAAGGCTGCCTGAACCACCTCAGGAGGGTGCTGCTGTAGGTCTGCGTTTCTCTCCTCTGTGCTTGAAGCTTCGCAGTGGGTTCTGTGTCTTTGCCTTCTGTGGGGGCAAAGTTACTGATTAACTGTGGGGAGCAGACGTCTGTCTGCACATAACGAGACAGACTCAGAGAAGTGGCTGGTACTGCTACCTGGCAGGCCCTGCAGGCCGCGAGCCAAGGACAGGCTGCTTCCGGCACCGCAGGTGCCCACCTTCCTCCTCCAGCAGCATGGAGGATGAGGAGGGCGGTGGGGACAGGGGGGCAGGTCCTCCTTTGCTCTGGAAGCTGCTCATGGTGGCCAAGGGAAAGCCCTGGCCCCCACAAGTCTGGCCAGCGGCCAGGGGTCTGGGGCCGGTTCTCAGGACCTCTTTCCTTCCTCCTGAGGACGAGGGGCGAGCACACCCCGGTGACAAGGGAACCAGACTGGGGGTGGCCTGGGGCGGGGAGCCCTGCAGCCATCACCAAGGCCCTAGGGGACATACCTTGGCCTTCTTAGAGGCAGGGGGCTTCTTCCGCTTCTTGTGTGGGTGGACGAGGCCGCGCAGAGCAGGAGGAACTGGAAGAGAAGGCCGGCTCAGTGGCTGCTCCCGCCGCCCCGTGGGCCTGCTCCCACCCCGTCCTGCCGGCTCCACCTCCAATGGCTCCCAGCGAGCTCTCCCCTCTTGACCCAGGGCCTGGCACTCCGATCCTCACTGCAATCCTAAGAACACACGACTATCTAGTGTCACACCGCTGTCCCCCGGGATGCCCACTAAAACACATCTCTACAGTACGTGTCACAGTAAGGGTGAAACAGAAGAAGGAAAATTAAGAAAGAAAACGCTGCTAAAATAGAAAAGCAGCCTTCACGTAATTCCTTCCTATGTGGCCCTTCCTCACCTGTCAGCTGCCACCATCACTACTCGGGACCTGCTACATGACCCCTGGCCTCTGCCCTCTCACCCACCACTCAGGGCATAGCTCAGGGTCCCATCCAGCCAGGTCACACAGGTCCTGACAGGCCTCTGAGCACCACACCGCCACATCCTTCCACGTTACCCCAACCCCTAAAGGCCAAAGGTTTTGGGCAACGACTCTGCTCCTGTGTGACAGAGAGGATGGGATTCACTTCTGAGGCAGGAGACAGATGGGCCCCAGGTTAAACATTTACAACTAGCTTCCCATTTACACTTTGAAAATAAAAATAACAACAGAACAGTATAAGTAGCTGGACTTTGTCTCCTGCGGACACTTCAAGATAATGGGAAAAGGAGAAACAGAAAGGAGCTAAGTAAGCCCTGCTTCGGTAAAAAATTAAGGAGACCATGTATTCTTCATTCATGGGGTCAAGGAGACCTCCCAGACTATGCAAGCACAAAAAGGTTCCTCAGGGGAGGGGGCACCAGACCATGAGGTCTGCCAGCCTCCCGAAAAGCCTTGCACTGGAATTTACCTTGTCTAAAAGATGAGCTTGCACATCCAGGAGGGCCCTGAGTCAGACCTGAGATGGACTTGGGGCCACATGATGCAAGGTGACTGGCCAGATGAAAATCAGAAAACTGCCTCCACATAAGTGGTCTAAACCATCCCAAAAGGGACTTCCCTGATGGTCCAGTGGTTAAGAATCCACCTGCCAATACAGGGGACACAGATTCGATCCCTGGTTCTGAAAGATCCCATGGACCGTGAGGCAACTAAGTCCATGTGCCACAGCTAAGTCAATGGTGCTCCACAACAAGAGAAGCCATGGCAACGAGAAGTCCATACACTGAAACGAAGAGTAGCCCCCACTCGCCACAACTAGAGAAAGCCCGAGAAAACGCAATGAAGACTCAGAGCAACCAAGAATAAATCAATTTTAAAAAAAAAGCTCATAGCTACTTCTCTCTCAGTTCACCCATCTTTTCTCCACATCCCTCTTCTCTCCTAATAAACACTTTACTTGCCTTTTTTTTTTTTTTAACTTTTTCCCAAAACCACGCAAGAGCCAGGGCCTTGCTCCCAGCCACAAGTCTCTGGGTGGTCTAAGAAGGTTAGGATACAGCACCCTCACCACTGTGGTCTAAGTTCAATCCCCACTCAGGGAACTGGGATCCACTTCAAGCTGCCACACAGACCACCCAAAAGCTACCCAAGATCACACCCACTCCTCCCCCTCTCCCCCTCCTCACTCCTCAGACCAAGACCTTGGTTGGTATCCCTTACAGCTCACTTCCTGGGGAGCCTGGCCCTATCTCTCTGGCATTCCCATCTCTCCTGGATCTTTCCCATCCACTTGCTTGGGGTTCTCCTTGCCATATCCACCAGCTTACGCTAATCCACAGGGGTACCAGGGAAAGGGGTCTACACTCACCGCTCTGCTTCCTTAATCCACTTTAAGCATCTTCAGCATAGAAGTCACACACACCCATTACCAAAGACACAAGGAGTGTCATTACTGGGTGCAAAGGGAGCAAGGCTCCTGAACACATCAGCTGGGCTTTGGCCTCATCTACACCATAGAAACCACTCTTGGGATCCATTCTTTTCTTGGCTGTGCCATGCAGCATGCGGGATGTGGGATCTTTGTTCCCTGGCCAGGGATTGAACATCAAACCCATGCTCCCTGTGCAGAGTCTTAACCACTGGACCACCAAGGAAGTCCCTCTTGGGATCCATCCTTGACCTCATAACTGTGATCCTGATATCCCTCATCCCCACAAGGCTCAAGCAGGTCTATTCTCTATTTCCCACCCCCACTTCCCCGGTCAAATATTCTGGACTCAGACACCCAAGGGCAGCTTGGCCTGGTCACTAAGCCCAAGTCTCCTCCAGCATGAGTAGCACTGCCTCCTACCTGCGACTTCCACATCACACCCAGTCACTCCCTTCTACACACAGGAGGCTGCTTGGCCACATATTAGCTCGCTCTTTCATAGGACCAGGCTCTAGATGTGAGACCCCTGGCCTTGAAAGCAGAGTGCTGCCCTGGTTTCCTGTCTCCCCAACAGAGAGAGCAATGCCTACCCAAGGGCACTGTGCAGAGTTATGTCTGTGTACATGCTCGCTGCCCAGTTCCCAGGGTTCTGTGTCACCCCAGTGCACGGCAGCCCAGGGATGAATGCGCAGCCCGCCCCCAGCCCTGCTCACCCAGGTAGTCAGGGACGTTGCCCAGGTGAGGCTTCACCACGGCGGGGTGTAAGGGCAGGTCGTGCCGCAGCAACTGGAGGTCCCTGGGGTTGTCTTCAAAGTATGTCTGGCAGGGGAGAGAAGCAGGCACTGTATGGTTGGTCCTCCTTTTGTAATTTCGCGGGTTTTTTTTTTTTTACAGGGGAGTTTTTGAACAGGTAGCCCGTGTTCCAATTGTTAAGGCTGAGATTTCCCACTGCCTTGTCAATGGGGCCCCCTCCAAGAGGCAGCTCCGTTTCTGGTTGCTCATATCCCCTCAAGTGCTCTGCACACGCAGGAAGGCATGTGTCCCTGCTCCCACTCCCTATTCGGTGGGGGCAGTTAGGAGCACGCCACACCCTCCTCACCGGGACTCACTCCATGGCCGTGCACCTTCCAACTGACACACAGACAGCTGCCTCCTCCTTTTCTGTGTGATGCACACTGCGTGAATGCCCCTGACTTGGTTTACTGCGTCCCCGGGGTGGACTCCCTGGTGTTTCCACCTTGGGAATCATAACGGAACGCAGGCACCCATTCAGCTGAGAGCTCACACAACTCTTACAACTGTGTCAAGAGAACACTGTCCACCTCAGAGACTGGGCCGATTCACCTCCCAGCAGGACAGCTGGCATCCGTGCTCACTCTTGGCCTGCTTCCTCCCCATGACCTGCTAAAGGCACGGTCTGCCGCCCAGTTCACCACCTCTCACACCCACAGCTTTGCCACCGGCCTCCAGGAAGGGCGATGCCCTGGAGCCTCCCCTTTCCGTCCCCCCACCACAGCCCCTTACCTTGAGCTTCTCTGAGTGCAGGAGCTCCTCTTTGATCTCCTTCAGCCTTGCCTCGCGGATGGCTTGTTTAGTCACTGAGCGCATGGCATCCTGGGGGCAGACATCAAAGGTCAACATGGCAGGGCTGCCTGAGCCCGCCCTCCTGCCAGGGTGCTGAGCAACAAGGGCCTGACTCTGGGTCCTAGAGGAGCCCCAAGTACCCACATCCCCACAGGGCCCCACTCACCCTGCAGCGGTAGCGGAAGCCCTCAATCTCTTCCATGTGGAACTGGTAAGGAAGCAGGACAGGGGCCCCACTGTCTGCAGAGAAGACAGCAGTGAGGATCCTGCAGACTTGGGCAGGGTCTATGGAGGCCTTCTGCTCAGAACCTCCCATGTCCACTCCCTGGGGTGAGGCAGCCGGGGATCCAGCCCACTCTTTCCTCATATTGCAGGCGTGCAGCAAAAAACCTGGGTCTCATGGACAGTACATGACAGGGGATCCACCCTGCTGCAGCCAGGGAAGTTTCCTGTACCCCCGTCCTGGGCCCTGTCACATCTCTCAGCCTTAGGACCTACCCACTCGCCCACTCTCCTACTCTGAGGCCACTCTAGCCACAAAGTATATGCGATGACAGCCACGGAGCACTAAGGAGCATCAGACCCTGAAGTTTAAAGTGTCACGACAGAAGACTGGCCCTTTCTCGGGTCAGTGAGGGCGGGGCTCTTACCTCCACTGAGAAGCTCCTCGATCTTGCCCAGCTGAGACTGCTCTGTGGGCAGCATGAAGGTCAAAACTATGCCGGGGTTGTTGGCACGTGCCGTCCTGCAAGGAGAGACAACCCAGCCCGTGTTTCTGGCTGTGTGTCCCACAGTGTGCCCACGGTCCAGGTGCCCAGCTCGCCACGCCTCAGTTCTCCTACCTGCCGGCCCTATGTATGTAGGCCTCGGGGGTGGGGGGGAGATCAAAGTTGAGCACGGCACATACGTGGTGGAAGTCTATGCCCCTGGCCACGCCTGCCTCTGGATCAGAAGCCCTGTAAGAAAACATGCCAACCTCAGACTGAGCCCTCCTCTCCTCAGAGGCCATGTTCTCAAACTTACTTAATCAGCATGACGACAAAACAAAGGCTGGTACGGAATTACAAGACACTGTCACGAGTAAGATTCTTAAACATCGTAACTGTGCCAGGAGCTAGAGTAGTGGGGGCAGCCAAACCCTGGAACTCACTGCCCACAGGGCAACCCGAGAACCACTCTGAGCCAGCCCACCCGAGAGGCAGACAGGGACTGGGGACTCCCCTTCCCCCGAAGAGAGATCCTTCATCCAGGTCACAGCCAGTGGAGGCTGGGCCACCTTCCTCACAGGATAACAGCACGCCAACAAGTCAGGCAGTATGGCTGTTCATGCTGCCCATGAAGCACAGGCCTGTGCGCCCTTCACTCCCTGCCCCCACACGCTAGTTTCCCAGTCTTCTGAAAGGTGGGTCTCCCCGGCAAGGGCTGAGAGGAGATAAAAGCAGCCTCACTTGTCCCGCTTGGGTCCTTTGCCCCGATGCTTGCCCTTGACTGGAGGCCCCAGGACTTCAGCATCTGTTGCTATGACGCAGTCGTAGAAGCCTTGGTTGAACTGCGAGATGATGTGGCACCTATGGCCCAACAGCAGACAAAAGTCAGACCTAAGAGCACTGGAGGCTTCTCCCCTGCCCTCCACCTGGTCATAACGGTCATTCTTGCTGACTCTTCCCTCCTCTTCAATTCTTCCCCAACTTAATCTTTGTGCTTCAATCTCCTCAAGTGAAGATGGAATTATAGTTGGTATTGCAGAGTTGTGAGAGATAAAGTCACTGAAGATCAGTCAAGCCTGGAGCCCTCAATCCTCTAAGCACTTAAGAAACAAGAAGAGCGACTATGTCTCCCCTTTTCCATCCCCATCTTCAACCAAGACATGAGAGTCGGCACACCTGGAGCGTAGTGGAAGCTCTCCATTGAGCACACAGGCGGGGATGCTGAACTGCTCCAGGAATAGGCGCAGCCGGTAACTCCGCTCCAGAGTGTTGACAAAGAGCAGAGACTTTCCCCGAATCAATGACAGCTTGAGCAGGGCATATAGCAACAGAAATTTGTCTTCCTCAGTCTCACAGACCACCTGAAACTGCTGCAACTGGTCTGGGCCTGGTAGCTGGGACTCCTGTAACTTGAGGGTAACCTAGGGGAGGACAGGCCTGTGGTCAGGAAAGAAAAGAAGACAGAAATGCTACTGCAAGCCGCTGGCTCACCAACCACAGCACTAACATGTTAGTGGAGGGTGCCCTGGGTCCCTTCCAACTATGTAATGTCAGAATTCAAAGTATACTAACTACTGCAATTTACAAAAGACATAAAACTACACACAATTTGGGGCACAAATCAAAGAGAAACACACTATAAATGACTATAGTGAGACGAAAACCCCTACAGTAGCAAGCTTTCTGAAGAGCAAAGTTCACATAAGGGGAGAATTTTGGTCCTGCTGCTCAGAGCAGCCTTTCTCCCCTTTGGGGGTCCCTGATCAGGCCTTTAGGCAAAGCACGGTTTGAACCCAGCGGATACCTGGGTATACACAGTGATTTTAGGTTGCAGGATACAGAAGCGCCTAACAACATGGGACTTCTAATGCCTTAGAACCAGGAATACTAAACGAGGAATTTCCAACCCCAAATAACAAAGGGTTCCTTTGAGAAGGCACGAGTATCTGAGTCCTCTTGAGTCTCCTGATGGTCCCACGGGGCCCTTACCGGGTTATGTAGTACCAGCTCCTTGAGTGCATGCACATCCTCATTAAAAGTAGCTGACATCAGAAAGGCCTGGTAAATCCGGGGCAAGTGACTAAAATGAAACAGAGCCCCATCAGACTCCAATTCTAAGGCCTCTAACAGGGGCAGCTGAACTGGCCCTTCGCTCCAGGCCCTACTCTGTATTCACCACCCCTTCTCCTTACCAAAGAAGACTCTTAAGTTCCTCCTCAAAGCCAAAGGAAAAAAGAAGATCAGCCTCATCGACCACCAGCAGCTCCATGGAGTCTCGAAGCTTCAAGTTGTCTTGCTGCAAGTGGTTTAATATGCGGGATGGGGTCCCCACCACCACATCGGGCTTCTCCATCAGTACAGCTCTGTAGACAGGCGACACCTCAGTATTAAGTAGAAGGTAGCAGCTGGGACCTCACCCCAATCAGCCCTTGTTTTTGCTGCACACAAACCCCATCCCACATCCCAGTGCGGATTCATTCCCTCACAGCCCTGCTGTTCTAACTCACCTCTGAGAGGCTGAGTCTTCAGCAGCTGAGACGTTGGCCACCCGGATGTCTCGAGCACAGTAGGCAGCCAGCTGCTGAATCATGGATTGGGCCTGCCTCGCCAGTTCCTTAGTCGGCACAAGGACAAGCGCTCTCACAGCCTGCTCTACTGCAGGCCCTGTCTGCAAGACAAAGACTTCAGTCAGTCAGTTATCATCAAGGCCATCAGATGCTTTTCTCTACCTCTTCCAGGCAATCTGATCATGTACTATGACTTCAACACAACAATCTCGTTGTGTTTTGATCATCCCTTCACTTACTTTACCCACCTCTGAATGTAGATCAGAAGGCTCTCTCCCAAGGCACTGAATTCAACAAGGATAACTTACTTTATCGTTACAAAGTTACTTAAAATATGCCAGTTACTGGAGAACCACCAGTTACTTCTCTGGTGGTCCAGTAGCTAAGACTCTGTGCTCCCAATAGGCTCAGGTTCAATCCCTGGTCAGGGAACTAGATCCTGCCTGCCACAACTAAGAGTTCACATAAAACTACTAAGGATTCCCACATGCCATAAGGAAGAAGGAAGATGCCTCAGCTAGGATCTGGAACAGCCAGATAGAAGATCAAACTAGACAATCCTAAAGGAAATCTATCCTGAATGTTCACTGGAAGGACTGATGCTGAAGCTGAAACGCCAATACTTCGGCCACCTGATGTGAAGAACTGACTCATTGGAAAAGACCCTGATGCCAGGAAAAACTGAAGGCGGGAGAAGGGGATGATAGAAGATGAGATGGTTGAATGGCATCACCAACTCCATGGACATGTGTTTGAGTAAGCTCCTGGAGTTGGTAATGGACAGGGAAGCCTGGCTTGCTGCAGTCCATGGGGTCGCAGAGTCAGACACGACTGAGCAACTGAACTGAACTGAGTACAAAGAATAATGGTCGCAAGGCCTGGACTAGAACCCAAGTAACCTGACTCCAGCTCAGGGCGTTTACCAGAAAATCTTCAGGTTCTCTTAGATCAGCCTTCATGTGTAAGAGAAAAGAAAACCCGGTTCTTGGGAAAGACTTGGGTGCGTGAGTGTGGCCGGCACAGCTTTCCAAGAGGCCACAACGGAACTCAAACGCCTGCATCTCCCATTCTCGGCCTCTGGGGCCCCTCCCCCGACTCACCGCCTTCCTGTGGAGCAACAGCTGTAGCATCGGAATGGCATAAGCGGCGGTCTTCCCGGAACCCGTGCGGGCGCGAGCCAGGAGGTCCTTCCCCTCCAGCGCCAGTGGGATGGCCTTTTCCTGGATCAACGTGGGTCGCAACCAGCCCAGATCGGTGACGGCCTAGGAGAGACAAGGGATGTCTCAGGCGGCGTGCTGCCCTGCCACCGCTCCCATCCACCGTCGGTTGGGCTCCTCAGCCCTCCCCGGTACCTGTAGGAGCCGATGGTCCAGGCCCATGTGCTCGAAGCTCAACGATTCTTGATCCTCCATGCTGCTGCTCTGTAGTGACAGCGCGCAGGCGCGACAGGAAGAGCACGAGAAGACGCGTGAGCCCGTCAAAGCAGCAGCCAATCAGTTTCAAAGGAGTTGGCCATGGCTTCCGGTGTTCCGGCTGGGCTCTGCGGCTGCTGCTGCGCTCTAGCTGTGGGGTCTCGGGGGAGAGGTGGCGGGCGGCGGAGAGCCCACGGGTCCTTGCCGGTCCCCTGACACTGCCTCTAAATGGCGTTCTGGGTTAGGGTTACCTGCGGCAGAGGCGGGGCTCCGTGGAGGTGGATGAGGTCCCCTCCGTGCCCGCCTCCGCCCACCGACACCGGCCACACAATCCTCGTTTCTCCACCAGGTTGCATGTTTATGGCTTTACCATCATCTAGCGCTTGATTTTTAACAGCCTCGCCCTAGCAATTATGCCAGTATTAGTTGTAGTTATATTGACAAATACATAAATGTTTAGAACGCTCGTCTGTGTACTACCTAAGAAAAGGGATGCCGCGGGTGGTACCTTACCACGTTTGGTAAATACTGGTGAGTTCTGCGCCCTTTCCTGCCATTATGCATCTGGGGGAATCTCTTTCAGGTTTATGTGCAAGCATTAATTGCTCTGCCACCGACTATGCTTAGGAAAAGCGCACCACCATATGTGTTTCAGGGTTGTTTGCCTGTAGCCGTGGTGGGAACGTGGGAATCTGAAACGCGGCAATGACTTTCAGAGTAAAAAGCAAGTGACACTGGGTGTACCAGCATATAATAGAGGCCGCCAGGGCTGGGCTAAGGTTTAGGGTCACAGGCAGAACAAGGACAGGCTATAACAATTGAACTGTCCAAGAATGAAGTTTGGAAGAATGAGTAGCATAAGAAAAAAGGAAGGTAGGTTGCTTTGGGTTTCCCAAAGGTAGCAACCTGTGTTGCCTGCACAACTTGGTTAAAAATAATTCTTAGGTGTTCCCTGCAGGTCTAGTGGTTTGGATTCCAGGCTTTCACTGCTGTGGCCTGGATTCATTTCCTTTTTGGGGACTGAGATTCCCCAAGCATTAAGACTCAGCCAAAAAAAGGGGGGGTGGATTTTTGGTCCCAACTTGTATCAGTTTGCTATTGCTCCTGTAACAAATCTTCATAAATTTGGTGGCTTAACACACTTACTATCTTACAGTTCTGTAGGTCATAAGTGTGACAAGGCCTCTCTAAGCTTAAATCAGGAGGTTGGTGGGGCTGTATTCCCTTCTCGAGGTTCTAAAGGAGTCATTATTTTTTTTTGCCTTTCGCAGCTTCACTTGTGGCCCCCTTGGTCTGTCTTCAAAGCTGTTAATGGAGGGTTGAGTCCTTGTGTCACATCATTACAACCTTCTTTTGCCTCCCTCTTGCATTTTCAAGAACCTTTGTTATGACATTGGGCCCTCCCAGATAATCCAGGACAATCTCCCTATTTTAAAGGCAGATGGTAGCAACCTTAATTTCTCTTTGCCATGTTTGGTAACATATTCACAGGTTTCAGGAATTAGTACATCTAGTTGGACATTATTGGGAAGTTATTAGTCTGCCTACCATGTGTGTTAACAGGGATGCAGGATGTCCATTTCTTTGTGACCACATAGACTGTAGCCTTCCAGGCTCCTCTGTCCATGGAATTCTCTAGGCAAGAATACTGGCGTGGGTTGCCATTCCCCTCTCCAGGGGATCTTCCCAACCCAGGGATTGAACCTGGGCCTCCTGCATTGCTGGCAGATTCTTTACCGTCTGAGCCACCAGGGATGCCCATTCTGCCTACCACACCACACCAAACATAGTCAGACTGGACGTAAATGTTGCTCAGGAATCTCTATGGATCAGTTTCTCAGGTGACCCTATGCATCTATTCTGACATGGGCCCGGCATGAGATCCAGAAGTCAGGCTCTGGGTGTTATAGGGTGAGAACTGAGAGCACCACAGGTAAAGTGAGGCTGGAACCAAAACATGGAGATGGGGACTGGGCCAGGGATAATGGGATGAGTAGAAAGACTCCTGTGCCCCCACAGCCTTTTTGTATAAGGATAGAAGGCTATTTGGTAAGGATGTTTTGTAACCTAAGAAAGCAAGAACTTCAGATTGGAATCAGGGTAGTATTGGGGAAAAAGGTCCCCAGAATTCCTTGGATGTAGCCGAGCTATTTTTAAAAATTTTTCCTAGGCTCTATGGTGTCTGTGAATACCACACACTAATGTGGAAACTCTTTTCCTCACATCTACCACTGATTAGCCTATCCTCTGGCAATCAAGATTCCAAATGTCCCATCAGTATAAAGGTGTGATATACTCCCCCCTCTGTCTTCACTCCATTCCCCTATCAAAAATTCACAAGAGGAGAAACCAAGTACCTACTGACCCATCAGCGTAATTGAGATGCACAGATGGACAGGCTACTTCCTGTATTCCTACAGCCTAGACACCAGTGTGCTTTGCTGGGTAGATTCCTAGTAACAGCCACAGAACAGACGTGTGTTCCCTTCCTGACACATCCCATGCTCCTAAAGAGCCTCAGGCCAGAGGTCTACACACCAACTAGTTTCAAGGCCACCTCATTTTCTGTGTTAATTCTAATATTAAGAATATTATGGTAAATATCCAAATAATTTTGGATGAGTCATTTATGGTGTTTCACCACACTGGACCATTGACATGGTCACCCCAAACTGGAATTTCTTAAATATTTACAAAAATATTAAGTGAAGAGGTCTAGAAAACTAAATTGCTTATACTTCTATAAGTAAAAATAGATACACATGTAGAACAATATGGAAGATAAAAACAAGAAGGGGAGAATTTAGTTTTGTATGTCAGATAAATAATGTATTTTAAACAAATAAAACCATGAAATAAAATGTCAAGAATGGGCAACTAATGGTATTAAGTTTTATATGGCAGAAAGGCATGAGGGAAGTATGCTAAGATGTGTTTACACTTATGATTCCAGGGAGCTAAGAAACAGATACTTAACCTCTTCACAGGATTCCTTGCTGACAAGCCTACGTGGTTGCCCTCTGTGCATGGCTGAGCCACCACCCTGTCTGTTCCCGCACCCTAGCCTCACAAGCCCGCATGCCCAAGTCCGCTCCTGGTCAGCTGCAGAAGCACCCAGACCAAGAGTTTTTCTTCCATCTCCTTTTGTGCCTCCCCTCTGCCCACGGCCTCTTTATTTCATTTCAAACACAGCTACTACAACACGTTTTATTTCACTGGAAAAATCTGTATAAAGAACCAAATTTGGTTCCCGCGATGAAAACATTTACCACAGCTTAAATAAAAGTTAAGGGAAACGGGAGGGTAACAGTGTCCTGCCTTGTGTGAGCTCTGTCACTGCCTCACTCTTGAATTCAGGCCCTGTGTGATGGAACCCATAGGTGTCCTGGAGAATTCTCTGCCTGGCCCTCTGATTAGGCCTTGAGAGCAGCTGCTCTCTGGCCCTGAGAGCTGAAGTCCTGGGAGCTGCCATGGTAGTTAAGTTATCAAGGATGTGTACATAAACAATGCAGAAGGGACTGCACTGGTGTTTTCAGCTAGTCACGCAAAGGCAGTAACACTTCAACTAGGAAGGAAAATATATAATTTTATCAAAAAATAGTTCTAATATATAGAAAAACTTTTCAATCCTCTGGGGCCTTTGCCCCTATTTACATTCACAAAGCTGCTGAGTGAACCCAGGACTGACAGCAAAGCAGTGAGGCAGGCCTCCTCGGTTGAGCATTTTGGTTGCCTACTTCGTAAGTAGATGAAGGGAAAGGTTAAAGGCGTAGGAGGGTTTTTCATTTGCTCATTTTATGAGAAAGAGGGAAATCAGTGGATGCAAAAGAAGACTTAGTGCTGGGTCAGTTCCAGCTCTGCACAAACCCCAAGACAATCTTTGAAAGCCTGGACCAGTGTCCTGTGTCCTTGAAAACCAGTGTTAACAAGTGGCTGATCTGAATGCTTTGTTGCCATGGAACCAATGTGGCTTATATTCTTTTTTCACTTTTTTTTTCCCTCAGAATCCAGGTGGATAAGATATTGGGTGGGGAAAGTACCAAATAATTGAGGTGACAGGAAAGGGTCACGTGGTGAGGACACTACACCAGCTTCTTGGCCTCAAAGAAGCTCTTGAGGTGACGCATCTGCCAGATGCCAGTGAGGATGAGGATGACAGTCTGAGCGATGGACCACCACAGGACCCTCTGGTTGGTGCTCTCACTGATCAGACGGAAGCGCTCTTCACGATACTGTGTAGGACAATGGACCCAGGGTTAAATGTGCGGGAGAGACAGTCTCAGCTGTTGCAAGGTCCTTCCCTCCCATGCCACTGCTCAACTATGGGACCAAACCCCTTTTGAAATACTGCCTCTGATTCCCCTGGGAGTGCCCCAAGGAAGTAACATGCTGCCCCTCCACGAGCTTCTCTGCTAGAACAGAAATCACATTCTTAAACCATTTAAAGCAAGATCCCAAAATAAGGAGGCAGGCAATGGATGTTGCTAGAGGGTGAACTGTCCTCTCTACACTTCATTCTACAGAGCTGAAAAATGGCTATCTGCACTGATAGCCTCTGTTCCAGTCTTTGAACAGCCTGCTTCCCAAGTAGGGAAAGCCCCAAGAAGAAACTTCCAGGTGTAATGGGTATAAAGGTCAACTGCCATGGCCAAGTACAGTGACATGCCCTTACCCTTTGGTAATCCTGCTCCTTCTGGATCTGCTCCACCTGATCAAGCAGCTGGCGGGCTCGGAGCTGCAACTCTGTCAGCTTATCCTTGGCAGCAATCTCAGGGTAGTTGTTGGCATGCTCCCCAACCTGGATGTCTAGATGCACACGCTAGGAGGAAACAAGGTTGGACCCCAAAGTCAGAGCCATTGTGAGGTTATGATGTCTAAGTGATGCAACCTCTGATGGTCTGTTCCAGGCTATGGAACATACTCTTGTCCCTGTGGGACAGGCGGGCAACCTCTATTTCTTACTTGTAACTGTGCCACAAAGAGTTACAAATGATGTGCATGCTTGCTAAGTCGCTTCAGTTATGTCCCACTCTTTGTGACCTTGTGGACCATAGCCCTCTAGGCTCCTCTGTCCATGGGTCCTGCAGGCAAGAATACTGGAGTGGGTTGCCATGCCCTTCTCCAGAGGATATGCCCGACCCAGGGATGGAACCTGCATCTCTTGGTCTCCTGCAATTGGCAAGCAGGTTCTTTAATAAATCAAAACTTTGGAACCAAGTGACAGATTCTGAGCTATGGCCAAGAGAAAACTGTTACCAGTCTGCCTCCAGCAAAGAGAGCCATCCTGGTAGAGTTGGAGTGCAGGCAGATCTGATGGTCACCAGGAGTGTGGGAAGTGAAGGTGAAGCGGCCCTCTGAGCCGTACTGCCGGGAGAGCACCACCTGCAACAGAGCAGTCAGTGAAAGCCCACACCTTTACTCTAACCTCGCCAAGTGCAAGCTCGTGTCTTATGAGCTCTGTCCACCCCAAGAGCTCTAGTGAAGGTGGCCCTACCTTGCCTTCAGGATCCTTCACCTCCACATGCATGCCCAGGCCGGGGGTCGAGGGCAGGAAGACCTCCTTCTGTTTATCCCACATTTGGGTGCGGTAGTTCCCTGCGGAACAGACAGAGCTGTCACAACCCGCCTAGTCCGTCCGGCTCCCACACCCCGCGGCTCCCGGGACGCCAGGCAGGGGGCACTGCTCGCCCGGTCACCGTCCCGCGTCCTCAGAGTGCCGCTGCGAGCGGAGAGCCCGACGGCGTCTTGGGGACAACTCAGGGCCCGATCCACCCTCGCCCCGCCTGACCGATGACCATGGTCTCGTCGGGGATTTCCTCGATGAAGCAGCGCTTTTCGGTCTCGCCGATGTGGAAATAAAGCCCCCGGGCGCTTGCCGCGCACAGAGCAAGAAGCAGCAACGCCGGCAACCCCATTGCCCGCCGACGCCCCGCCGAGACACCTGCCAACGCGCGCCCTCTGCCCAGGGCGCATGCGCGCACCTGCGCCCCACTCCCTGATGACGCAGAAAGACCAGACGCAGGACGCGCTTGCGCGGTGACTCCCGCTCTGCGTCCGCTCCTCCCCGCCCCGCCCCGCTCGCGTCCTTTAAGCCAAGTTACAGGGGCGAAGGGAGAGTGCGCAAATGCAGGACGCCCGGAGACTGGCTGGTCCCTCCCTCTCTCTGGAGGCGTAGTGGGTTCCGTCAACAACCAAAAAAGCGGCTTCTCCTCAGTGCGCATGCGCGCGCCTGCGCCCTGCTCCCAGCAAACGCAGCGTGGCAGAGCTAGAGTACGGAAATGTTGGCAACTCCTTCGGCCCTGCTGCTTACCCGTCAGCCTGCGCCGAGGCTTGAGTCCCGTATCCGGAAGATTGGGTCGACGAAGGCTTCCGAACTCGGGGTCCACCAAGGAAAGGAAAGTTGGAGTCCCCGGACCGACAGACCGTTCACTAGACTCCGACTAGGCGGATACCTGTGTGAGAAATCGTGTAGGAGCCTCAGGCACATTCGGTGCCACCTGGAATAGGGGCTCACCGAGCCTTTGGAAGCCATGACCTCGGGGTGGAGGCCTCACCTGGGTGGGGCTCCAAACAGACCTACAGGAAACGGTATTCCAAGCCGTGAGGCGCCATCAGGTTTAGGTGTTCCAGATTTTAGGAGTTTATCGGTTTTGTTGCTTGAGATGACAGTGTTGGAATGATTCTTTTCTGACACTCCTCTGCTAGGGGTATACACCGAAGTGCTCACAGATAGTCACCCGGGGGTGCTTACCAGGAAGAGAAAGTGGAGATTGGGCTAAAGGTGAGAGATGAGTGGGAAGAGGGACAAATAGAGACGATCCAGTGGTCACTAGAACTGCACCAAAAGGGCGAGGCTCGGCGGCGTCTCCGCCTCTGTTTCCAGCCCTTATTGTTCTCTCTCAACTTGTCCAGCTGCTCATTGTCTTCTATGTGAAGGTGTGGAACATGCAGTCCCTCGGGCTGTGGGTCTGCTCCACTGTCTCACGGTGGTTTAGGGCTCAGAGTGGAGAGAGATGTGAAACAGAACAAAATCCAACCTCTTGGGTCTGATGGGCCCATGACAAGTGCAAGTGGGGGCCCAGAGCTTGTTCTGCTGCTTCCCATCCTTCCTAAACACAAACCCTGTAAAAATCATTCTTACCGTGCTTAGTGTTGTGGTTTAGTCACTAAGTCGTGTCCGGCTCTTGCGACCTCACGGACTGTAGCCTCCCTGGCTCTGTCCATGGGATTGTCCAGGCAAGAATACTGGAGTGGGTTGCCATTTCCCTCTCCAGGGGTCTTCCCCACCCAGGAATCTGCATAGTGTTGGATATGTTCCTATTTATCTCTTAAAAAGTGGGATTGAACCAAGGCAAATATCCTAGTGGCATTAAAGAAGTTTTACAAGGAAACCCTTCCTGAGCAGCAGCAGTTGTGCAATGAGGACAGAAAATAAGACCTCTTTTGTCAGAAGCTGGAAATTTGAGTTTAAGTATGAAATCTGATTTTTAAATATTAGCATATGGCTCAGCTTTAATGAAATGGACAAGAAGTCACAGTCTGGCCACATTCAGCAGTCAGTCATGCGAACAACTTGTGATCTCATCCAAATTCAGTAGGGGATAGTATTCTTGTTTAAGTGATGACCTCTGTGCAGGTTCCTCCCTTTTCCAAGGTTCTGTGTCCTTCACCTTCTTTTCTTTGAACAAACTGGTGCAACTTGAGAATGAATATCTGGGCTAAGAAAATTGAGGAAAAGTCTTGAGGAAAACTTAGAATGAGGAGGTCTATGAGGCATGTTTACATCTCCTAATGAGAGCATTCCTCTTGTGGGACAGAGGAAGGCAAAAAAGAAGCCAGAAAGGTCCTTACTGGGTGTGAAATTAGAGCAAAGGAAGGTTGAAAATTTGTCTTAAAATTTTTGTTAAGAGAATTTCCAAACACATAGAATAGTTAACAATGAGCTTTCAAATACTAGCAACCAGTTTCAGCAGCAATCAAAATTTTGTCTTATTTTATTTATCCATTTCTGCATTTTTTTCCTGAAGTGTGTTAAAGATTCCCTGGACATCATATAATTTTACCTATAAATATTCCAGTGTATTTCTAGCCAATAAGGACTGTTAAAAATAACATCACACCCAAAATGAAAATAATTCTTTAATAATTCTAGTACTAAAAAAAATATATAATTCTAGTACTTAGTATATTTTCAGTTCCCCCCACCCCATCTCAATAAACTTTGGATTGTTAAAAAGGTCTGTTTACTACATTCATTTATACATCTTTTAAACCTCTTTTGATACATAGTAGTCACACCTTGTCTAAGGGGTATATGGTCCAAGACTCCCAGTGAATGCCTGAAACCACAGATTGTGCCCAAAATCTCTCTCTCATGTGTTTTATTCTATACATACCCATGGTAATGTTTATAAGTTAGGCACAGTGAGAAATTAACAATAACTAATAGCAAAATAGAACATTATACTGTAATAAGTTATATGAATATGGTATCAGAAAGTTTTGTTGTACAAATTTAATGCCTTTTCCATCTTAACTAAGGAGGAATCATGTTGTGGTTGTAACTTTTGCAGTTTGAAGTTCAACAGCAAAACCAGCAAGAATTTTTCTTTCTTTACAATTTCACACAAGTTTCACCCTTTAACATAGATCTTAACAACTTCAGCATAAGATTTCTTTTTCTTAGTAAGCTAAGAACTTTAACCTTTTCACTTAAAGGAAGCACTTTGCAGCTTCTCTTTGACTTACCTGAATTGCCAACATCACTACTCTTGCACTTTGGGGTCATTGTTAATTAAACCAAAGCACTGTGATAGTGGTGCAGCCAGTCTGATAACTAAGAGGGCCGCTATAAACAGGCAGGATACACCTGGACAAAGAGATGGTTCTTGTCCCAGGCAGGACAGAGCAAGATTTCACCATACTACTCAGAACAGTGAGCAATTTAAAATTGATGAGTTGTTTATTTCTGGAATTTTCTATTTAATATTTTCAGACTGCTGTGGACCACAGGAAGCCAAATCTGTGGATAAGCAATTCCCCTTCCCTTTCTATTGTTGATGATGGTGATGCCATCTACTTATTGAAGCAATTTGATCATTTGACCTGTAGAATTTTCCACATTCTGAATTTGGTTGATTGTTTCTTAATGTGACATTTAACATGTTTCTCTGCCCTTGGTATATCCTTCAAACAAATCTAGAGCCAGTGAGGATTTACAGTAAGACAGTGTGTTTCAGTGCATTAAACCCATTACCCTTTTTAATGCGCAAATTCTCCAATAAAACATTGTTTTGCTATACCCTTTTGACACAATTCTAGTAGTCTTTAGGGTCTTCCTTGTTTTCCATTTTGCACATTTCCCATTGTAGGCGTAAAATCAGCCATTTATCCAAGGAATTCTAAATCCCTTTAGCAAAAAATGGTATCTGTATTTCTTTTTTTCTTAAAAAGAACCCTGGAATTTGTCCTAATTGATGGATAATCTTGATATTATTGGGACTTTCCCGGTGGTCCAGTGGTTAAGACTCCATGCTTCTGTTGTAGGAGGGTTAGAGATCAATCACTAGTCAGGGAACTAAAATCCTGCATGGCACAGCCAAAAAAAAAAAAAAAAAAAAGATTGCATTCCCCACAGGAAGAAACCTGTCTTAGGTAATCTAATTCCCCTGGTCCCAGACCTTTACCCTGCAAAGGTGGGAGGAAGAAATTCCTGCAAGCCTTGACCTAGGCTAGCTAGCCATTCATTCAACCAGTATCTGCTGAATAGCCATTTGTACCAGACACTTTTAAACCCTGGGAACACACTGGTGAGCGAAACAAAAATCCTTGTCCTTGCAGATTTATTTTTATTATTGTCTATCAATAAACAAGATAAATGAGTAAATACATATCATGTCAGATGGAGGAAAGTATCAGGGAGGAAAATAAAGGGAGTATAATGAGTTGAATGGTGGTCCCCCAAAGACATGTCAATGTTTGAGTCCCCAGAACCTGTGAATGTCACCTTACTTGGAGAAAGGATATTGCAAATGTAATTAAGGATCTTGATGAGATAATCCTAGATTATCTATGTGGGCCCTAAGTCCAATGACAAGTGTCTTTATAAGAGACACATTAGGATGACTACAATTAACAAATAATAACAAGGCTTCCCAGGTGGTTCAGTGGTAAAGAATCTGCCTGCCAGTGCAGGAAATACAGGTTTGATCCCTAGTCTGGGAAGATCCCACATGGCACAGAGCAACTAAGCCTGTGTGCCACAACCACTGAGCCTGCATTCCGCAACAAGAGAAGCCACCAAAATGAGAAGCCTGCACACTGCAATGAAGAGGAGCCCCTGCTGGCCACAACTAGAGAAAAGCCCATGCAGCAACAAAGACCCAGCACAGCCAAAAACAATTTGTAAAATGTTCACTATTATAATAACAGAAAATAACAAGTGTTGATAATGTGGAGAAACGAACCTTTGTGAACTATTGGTGGAAACATAAAATGGCTTAACCACTATGGAAAGTTGTATTGAGGTTCCTCAAAAAAATTAAATTACATGCATGCATGCTCAGTCACTTCAGTCATGTCCAACTGTTTGCAACCCTCTGGACTATAGCCCGTCAGGCTCCTCTGTCTATGGGATTCTATAGGCAAGCATACTGGAGTGGATTACCATTCCCTCCTCCAGGAGATCTTCCCAACCCAGGGATCAAACCCAAGCCTCCCACATTGCAGGCAGATTCTTCACCGCTGAGCCACTAAGGAAGACCCAAGTTACCATATATCCCAGCAATCCCACTTCTGGATAGATCTGTAAAAGAAAGCAGGATTTTGGAAAGATATTTGCACATCCATATTCATAGCACTATTCACAATACCCAAGAAGTAGAAGCATCTCAAATGTTCATCAGTGGGTGGATAA